TGTTCGTGCTGCTGCTGCTGCTGCTGGCTTTTTTGCTGCTGTTGACTATGGACGCTTGTTGCTGCTGCTTGTCTTCTTCTGTCTCCTTTTATCTTTCTTTTTGTTTTTGTTTTTTTTTGTTTTTTTTTGTCTCCTTCTCTCTCTGTCTCCTTTTCTGTCTCCTTTTCTGTCTCCTTTTGTCTCCTTTTGTCTCCTTTTGTTTCTTTTTTTTTTTTCTTTTTGTCTGTCTCCTTTTGTCTCTCCTTCTGTCTCCTTTTGTTTCTTTCTCTTTCTCTGTCTCTTCTCTCTCTCTGTCTCCTTTTCTGTCTCCTTTTGTTTCTTTTTGTTTCTTTCTGTCTCTGTCTCTTTGTCTCTTTTTTGTTTGTCTTTGTCTCTGTCTCTGTTTGTATGAATAAATAAAATAAATAAATAAATAAAATAAATAAATAAAATAAACAAATAAACAAATAAAATAAATAAAATAAATAAGCAAACAAACAACTAAACAAACAAACAAACAAACAAACAAATAAAATAAATAAAATAAATAAAATAAACAAAATAAATAAAATAAATGAAATAAATAAATAAATAAAATAAATAAAACAAACAAAATAAAATAAATAAAATAAAATAAATAAAATAAAATAAATAAATATTTGTTTGTGTGTACAGGAGGGCCCGGTTTGTTCTCCTCTTGCTGCTGACGTTTGTGTTTATATATTTTTTTCTTTGTCTCTCTTTCCTTTTTTTATTTTTTCTTTCTTTCCTTGGGGTCTATCTGCAGCAGCAACGTTCTTTGTTGCTGCTCTTCTTATTAAAAAACAAACACGAAGACAGCAGCAACACAACAACAACACCCAGCAAGTCTAGGGTTTAGGGTTTAGGGTTTAGGGTTTAGGGTTTGGGGTTTAGGGTTTAGGGTTTGAGGGCAATAACAAACGGACCTATAAACCCTAAACCCTAAACCCTAAACCCTAAAGGGCTCTAGGGGCCCCTTTAAAATATCCTAAGGAGGGGTTCTAAACCCTAAACCCTAAACCCTAAACCCTAAACCCCCCTAGGGCCCCTAGGGGGGCCCTAGGGGGCCCCCAGGGGGGCCCCCCGGGGGCCCCAGCTGGCCCTTTAAGATACCCTGAGAGGGGGCCCTTTGAGATACCCTTGGGTGCCCCCTAGGGGGGCCCTAGGGGGGCCCTAGGGGGGCCCTAGGGGGCCCCTCAAGGCGCTGCCCATGGGGCCCTTGGGGGGCCCCTCAGGGGGCCCTTTCAGATACCCTAGGGGCCCCCAAGGGGGCCCCCCAAAGTACTACCAGGGGGGGCCCCCAAAGGGTTATCTAGGGGGCCCCTACGGGGCCCCCCCAGGCGCTGTCTAGGGGCCCCCTAGGGGCCCTTTAAGATCCCGTAGGGGGCCCCTAGGGGGCGTGTTTGTTGTTATAATGTTTGTTTTGTTTTTGTGTCTTTTGAAAAAGAGAAATATAAATTGGGGTGTATGTACACCTCGTGCTGAGGTGTATACACTGATAGGGGTAGGGTTAGAGGGGCTGCGGTGTATAGGCAGCTCAGCAGCAGCAGAATACAGCAGCAGCAGCAGCAGCAGCAGTAGAAGAATGCAGCAGCAGCAGCAGCAGCAGCAGCAGAACCAGCAGCAGCAGCAGTAGGAGGCAGGAGCAGCAGCAGCAGCAGCAAAATGCTGCAGTAGTCTAGTTACTTTCTGCTGTTATCTAATCGATACACACGAGGAAGAACGCAGCAACAGCAGCAGCAGCAGCTGCAGCAGCAGCAGCAGGAGCAGCAGCAGCAAGAGCAGCAAGAGCAGCAGCAGCAAGAAGACAGCAGCAGCAACGTGTCTTCTTCTGCTGCTGCTGCTGCTGCTGCTGCTGCTGTTGCTGCTGCTGCTGTTGTTTACTTTATATCATTGAAATATTATTATATTTTATTTATAAAATAAAAATAAAAAAAAACAAAAAAAACAAAAAACAAAAACAACAACATAATAACAACAACCCCACCGCTACCAGGGGGCCCCCAGGACCCTCAAGGGGGGCCCCCATATGTATATATATATATATATATATAAATATATATTTATATTTATTTATTTATTTATATATTTATTTATTTATTTGTTTTCTTTTTCTTTTTTCTTTTTTGTATATATAATGTTGCTTTGCTGCTGAAATGCTGACGAAGTTGCTTACCTGCAGCAGCAGCAGCAGCAGCAGCAGCAGCAGCAGCAGGAACAACAACACCAACAGCAGCAGAAGCTGCAGCAACAGCAGCAGCAGCAGCTGCAGCAACAGCAGCAGCTGCAGCTGCTGCTGCTGCAGCTAGCCTGTGGGGTTAACAACACCCCCACGGGGACCTTCCGCGAT